TCGTAGTTGTAATTTTATTCTGATAAATCATGAGATTCAAGAAGAGGAAGAAAAAGTGTTGAACGGATAATTAAAATATTTAGAAACTGGAAAAAGAAAAGCAATTTTAATATATCAATATGAATAATACTTTAAATAGTTGAGTTACAAAGAAGAAAAAGAAAGTAAGATTAAGGAATTAATGCATAAAGATATTTTCATTACTGCAATTTTAATTTAGATAAAACATCGTATATTCAATGGAATGATATTTTTTTTCTTGTATAATGAAGTATTTCTTGGACTATTAGTATGCATTAAGAAAATGAATAATATATTCTAATAAATTTAACTGACAATAAGTTTGGTCTATTTCATATTGGAAAATCATACAATATAATTTTAAAAAGTACCAAAAACTTTTTTCATTTTTCGTATAAAGAATGATGAGATGCAATAAACAAGCACAAAAAGAAAAAATATGGATTTATAAAATTAGTCTAAAACTTTCCAAGTATCAAGATTTAAATTACTATCCTCCTTCAATCACATAAATGCACAGGAAAAAAAAAGAGAAAAACATTTTCGAAATTTGACTTTCGTTACGGCTTACTCATTCCACAAAGCGATTGTTAGCTGTTCAACAACAGGAGAGAATAAGTAATTCATCTGTTAAAATGATTGGTTCACCTATTTCTCCTGCTTTCTCTTTCTGTCTCCCTCTCTCTCTATCTTCCCAATAAAAAAATTAAATACAAAATCTCTTTTTCAACAACATTCCTATATGACACGACTCTTTCAAAGATTAGTCATTTGGTAAGCAAAATTTTAGCTGTCATCTGCCTTGATAATCAAATTCAATGCATATCATTTCAAAAGATCAAAAGGAAAAAAAAAATGAAGGAGAAATTAGTGAACCAATCATTTTGACAAAAGTGTTACTTATTCTCTTCTGTTGTTGAATAACCTAACACGATAAGTCTATAAATAAATAATCCAACCCATCAGTTAGAGGGAGTTGGAAGAATGGTTACTTTTCTGGACTTATTTTAATCATCAATTTCTGACAGAAATATGATATTAAATTCACATTTTATGATATTATTCAGGCTATTTCATACTTTATCTTAATTTTGGATGAATAATTCTTTTTTTTTTTTCTTGTATAATACAAATATTTTACTTGGTAGATTATCGATATTGCATATCTCACTTCTACAATTCTAGCTAGTTTAATCAATAATTTGCTTCATGCTTTTCATAGCTTTCATTTAGATTTTAATTTCTATTTTAAAAAGTGTGAGGAATAAATGAAAAATAGCTTTGCATCTATTTTAACAGATTACGAGAAAAACTTGTCATACAGAAAGATTCGGAACAAATCAATTGGAATAAGGTAATAAAAACGAAATTATTGAATATTAGTGGAAAGAATTATGTCATTATTTGTTAACTATTTTCGAATGCTAAAATTAATACTTGTCATCGAATAATCGCTTGTTGGTTTTTATTTCCTTATCATTTGTATTTCATATTTTTATTAGTTGTAATTCACAAAATTTTATATTGTTATCATTTATATTTCATTTATAATAACAATATGTGAACTATTTAAATATATGATTTAGTATTTATTTCGTATACAGTCTGCAATACATCATTTACTACTTATTATGACAGATTTTGAGAATGTTATGTATTCGCTAATTTGTATAATCATAAATTGGTATGATATATTTCTAAAACAAGTTGATACCTATCAATCAATTACGTACAATTCTTATGTATTAGCTAAAAGATCTTTTGAACTAAAATGAGAAATATTTGATCTTAAAGCAAATTTCGAAATGAGTGCATAAAATGTCGATGATAATTAAAAAATATTAGAAAGAAATATCTTTTCCAGAAATACATCTATCATCACAGCCTAAAACTTTTCTCATAAAAGACACATTATGGATAAATATTGACAATGAAATAAAAATTTAAGCTGTTGACAATAACAATTTCATATATCAAAAATTATAAAATGAATGAGAAAAGAAAAAAAAAAAAAGCAAACTAATTGATTTGCTTCTTAAATATCCATTGAAAAAAGAAAATTAATTTAATTTATGTCATATTCATTTAACATTAGTAAAAATATTAGTTATTACCATTATCTATCATAACATTTAAAATCATAGGATTAACAAACTACAAAAACAGTATGCTAATAGTCCTATCAAAAACTTAATAGAATATTATTTTTCATTCAAATATTTAAGTTTGAATTTTCCCCAATCAATTTTATGACATTTTATTTTTTTGTTTTATAACGAAATTAAAGAAAAAAAGGCAGAAAAAAAAGAGAAAAAAAATTGAGTAATTAAAATAAGTGTTAAAATGAGGGTAATAGATAAGATGAATATGAATATGAAAGGAAAGCAATAAGGCATGTTAGGTGACACGAAACATATCTTTACATCGGGAGGAGAAGAGGATCAAATTGATGAATTCATTCAGCTATGCAGAAAAACTCGTTTTCAGATGATTCCCTTCAACATACCCCGCGCATACCCAACCGTACATACCTCTGCACCCATCTACATCTCTCTTTTTAAAATAATCACATTTAGAAAATTTGATATGCCTTTCCAAAGTTTTGTTATTCACTTCATTCAACTGTTTTTCTTTTCTTTCCTTTTTTTTTTTCATCTTCAGTCCCGTACATTCATCTTTAATTTAATAGTGAAATGACCATAAAACCTATATAGTTTCTTCATATAATGACCTCCACTTCTTAATGCTTCTTCATTATTCTTAAACAAAATTTTATATAGGGAATGATATATGAGTGAACGATCAATAAGCTTGACTTGCTCAAATGTAAGAAATCAGAATAGTTGAAGCTATTTCGTTAAAATTTTCACAACTAATTTAAAAAAGAAAAGAAAAAACTGAAATCTGGTTATCAAATTAACTGATTCAAGTGTTAATATTTTTTCATGGATTATGACAAAATATTAATTCATTCAATTTGAACTCGAACAATAAATAAATAATGCTAAATTTCCCATCTAAAGTTTTACTTCAAAAAAAAAAATTCTAGTTTTTCTTTTTCTAAAATGAATTAAACAACTATTTCCAGTAATATTGATTTTTAAGCTTTTATACTATATGAATTACTAAACTTTCTCAAACGATCCCGCGCTTTTCTTATATTCATCTTTTCCTAGTGGATCAAGCCGTTACCACCCGAGGCTCTATATCCCCCGATTTCTTGAATCACTTTCGAAAAAACCTTTTCCCTGGGTCAGTTTCCCTCAGTGAAATTTCCCACAATTCGAAAGTATCTTTTTCCTTTTTCGAATTTTACAGTATTTTGATTCAGTTATTTACAAATTTATATTTCTCATCACGAGGTCTTTCATGGAAAGAGAAAAAAACAAACAAAATGGCGCATTCAATGAGAACAGCCAACAAATAGGTAAATATATGGAATGCAGAAGAATCGAATGCATTAGTGTTTAACTGTTTGAAGGTATTCAAAAACATCCGTTGCGGAGGTATGAACTTACGGGGTCAACGAGAAGGGAGGAGACCAATTTCTCAATGCAAAGGTAGGGGAAGAGATGTTAGATGAAACTTTCATTGATTGCAGATGAAATGAACCAAATGGGGGAAAGATCAGAAAGATGTATCGATGGCACTATTTTCCTACTCCTTGTGCGGGTACTGTCGATAGAAGCTTGGCAGATGGATAGACGAAGAGAAAGATGAAGACAGGTAAGTTGTTTGGGTTGGTCTTTCACCTATACCATCGGTCAGATGACGTATTGTCAAGGTCGTCCAACAGAACCCTCCATCTCCACACCATCAGCATTACCACTATAATCAATACTGTCCAATCATCAAAACACATCTCAAATGAGCAATGTTTAATAATTCCACATATACCATACCCCACGATATCTTGTATTTCACTGGCCAAAGAAATAATACACATACCCACTTAAAACATTTGACATTTTACCTACTGAAAAATGTGAAGTCTTGAAAGTATGTATTGTAGCAAGTCACCATAAGTTATTTCAAAAAAAGCACGACACAGTAAATACAGTTCCGCACACTTGAAGCAATTAACACTGAATTCATAATTCAGAAACAAAATGACTAAAACAAACTAATAAATCCTAAGTGATAGAGCTTGGACATTACCTGTTTCAAATCTACGATTCTATTCTGATCGGATGAAGAGTTTATCCGAGAATAATGAAATAAGGAACATTATTTTTCTTTTTTCACTGCTCGAAGCAGCGAATCAAAGCGAAACAGAAGAGTAAAAGATAACATCTATGTGGCATCCTGAATTTTGAATACCAAAATATTTAAAGCATCTCTAAAAACCATTCGAAATATATAGTACATGATATTAAAATAAATAAGTCCTGAATTTACGCAAGAATAATTCACTGAGTGTATATAATATGAAATTTGTGTTGACAAAAACTTTAGAAAATATGAACTCATAGTCAGGGCAAGTTCGCACAAAGCGTTCATATAGCGAAGCATATATTTATATTATTGTAAGACGAGAGAAAAAAAGTTGCACCATAAAAGGAGCTTCATCATAATAATAAAAACAACTCCGTTTATGACATTAATATAATACATACATGAAAGAAACAAATCTGTTTATAAAGCTACCATCCGAAATTATACAAATATCCATAACCTTCTCTGAATCCTGCTGATTTGTAGGTCAGTCCAACCAATCAAAAGAAATATATTGTCGATCAAATTTAGAATACACGCTATCTGCTTTCATGCAATAGTATTATACTTATAAGTTTGCATTGGATATTTTTGTTTAAAACATCAAAAACAGCCAGACTGCAGTACAAAAAGAAAAAAAAAAAAAAAAAAAACAGTACAAAAGAATGTTGAAGGAGATGATAAGAAATTGATAAAACACTTCATTATTACAATATATACAAATTTATGAAAATTGGGCGGTGAACAGGACGCTATAAGGATGCCTATCGTGGTTGCCATCGTAAAAGTCGAGGTCGTAACAACAGACGCGGCTTTTTCGCAACACCTGTTTTCCAGCAGTGTAACAGAAATCGTTGCGTGACATATAATACATGGTCACCTTTCCAGTAGCGCGTCAATTTCAGAGAGTGAAGCGTTTCTAAAGAGTACTATAATCAAATCAAGCTGTTAAAGAAAAGATCAACTCATATTTGCTTGAATAACCACAGCTAACATGCCATCACCACTTCAATGTGTCTTTTGGTATTGTCTAAGGATTGAGAGGATTAAGTTTGATGTAACTGGATATTGTTGATAACTTCTTTCAGAACTCCGCTCACCAATAATGTCATTGACATGAATAGCTGTTCTTCGGCTTAAATCTGTTATCGAAATTTTTGAACAGGTTCTTAATACTTCCAGAACTGCCCACGACCAATAAGACCGGTAACTCAATTTGCCCAAATCGCTTAATGGCTTTTCAGGTGAACCAATTAAGCCTTCTCGTTTCGAAATTTCATAGCCTGAAATAAAACCGAATACATTTTTATCTGAATTCCAAGCGCGGAAATAGCACTACTACTTAATCTCTTCGAAAATTAAATGATGTCTTAGCACTCACTCAGCTGGATAAGAAACTTTCCATAACCGCTTCGCTGAAAAGGAGGAAGTATACAAATGCAGGCAAGGTTATTTCCATCAGGATTACCTTGCTCCTTCGAAAAATAACCTACCATCTGAGCACCCCGACTGTCGACCTGCAATAAAACAGATTTTAAAAATGAAATGCATACAAACGCTACATGCGACCATATCTTACAAAATTCAAAAAAAAAAAAAAAAAACACCTACTGTACGATCATTGTAGATTCAATGTAAATTCATGTAAACTCAAAGCTACATTATTGTAGATAACACCAGAAATAATAAAATCTGACCGAACCTCACAGAGTACGTAGAATAGGAAAGGTTCAACATCGAAATAAAGCGTTTTGTGATCCAGAAACAATTTCGCAAGAAGACACAAGCACTGACAATAAACCTAAAAACGAATAGTTAAAAATTATGAATAAAATTAATCAGGAAAACTGCAGCTACGCAAAAATAAAGACACAAGCACGGTAAAAAAAAAACAAAACAGATAGACCTTTACCTTGTCGTTACTACCCAGGACCTCATATACGGACATTGATTTTTCTTTGTAAATTTCAATGCCTGGTGGTTCCTTTCTTCGACATTCATGTAGATGAATACGATAGCTTCGTTCAAACTTCATATATCGCATACAGTACTGGCATATGTAAAGGCTGTGTGTTTTTCCATAATCATCCGGATAAGGCGAAAAATACCACGTGTCGATTTCATAGTTCCCGTATCTGATGCGTTCAATATGCTTCACTCTAGTAACCTTAATATGAAGATTATATTTCCTATGACTAGGAAAAAGTGTAATACGTCGCACAAATCACTAAGCAAAATCCGACAAAATTTTATCTCAAGTTTCTTTAATTTTGTGTATATAGTGTAGAAGAATGCAGTGGCTCACGAAATACGAAAATCTTTAACTTCTGGATTTCAAAAGAAGAATCTCTTAAGTTAATTTAGTATACTAAACAGATTATCACCATAACTAACCAACCTGTTCGTGTTCTTTCTCCAGTGCTGTTCTTTCATCGTCTATACTGGAATGTGAATTAGGAGATTCGATCATATCGATATGCGTCCTCTTCCGCACTCTTGTTATTTTTCTGCGATCATCATCAATTAATGTCTGCAATGTATAATTTCTCAATTACGCTTGCTGAACCTTCTAAAAAAAAAAAAGATTTACAAGTCAAAAGCCTGAGTTTTCTGTTCAAGATAACAGCAATACATGATACATCAAATTCCGTCATAAAGTTCTATCTTAAATTCGACTAGAAACATGCACACATTTATATCTAAATGTGTTTTGTAAACAGATTTTAATCCTCACTATGTTTTCCTTCAAATACTTACATTTCTTTGGACAAGAATTTTTTGAATCTGACTACGTTGAGCCCATTCATCAAGACGTCGATCGGTCCCTTCATAATGTACATAATACTCATTCCCCGTTCCTCTTTCCGCTGGTCTTTTATCTATAATTACAGCACGTCGTCGTCTAGAACTTCCATGACGCAAAACCATACATACTTCACCCAATGCTAATTGATCATTTAAACCTGACTGATCGTCTGAAACTTCGTAGTTTGTTGAATTACGATCACATCGCATCGAATCCATAGCTAAAGTTAATTTAGATTATTTAAATATCAGAAATCATAAAAGAAAAAAAGTGTGTGAAATGAGCAATCCTTTCATATATAACTTGTAATGTGGATACATCTATGTTACATTAATTATTAGTATATCTGAAATATACATTAAAGTGAATATATTAAAAAAAAGGTATGAAATATTAAAACATATAAGAATACTCACCTCTGTGTAGTATAATGCCATTACGTCGAAGATAACGATGTTGTCGTGTTGTGATGTACTCACGCTCATAAAGAGCTGAGCCAACGTTACTTCGGCTATGGCTTGTTATGGTGGTTCTGCTTCTACACTCCGCCGATACCCTGAAAGTAATACTCATCTCTGTTACTTCATCAACGTAAGTTATCAAGCAATACAACGATAACCATCTCGTACCCTCTATCCTTTACGACAAAAGGACGAGTCCGAACTTTACATACCTTCGTTTGCGCGAATTTCCGATCGCTATGCAACACCTTTGCAAAATCATAAATGTTAGGCAAAACCAAGCAGCGCTTGTGAGATAGGGGGAAGATATTTGGATTAGGGAAATTTATAAGAATATTTCATTCTGATTTAATTTCATTTTTTTGAACTTATTTAGATAATGATGTAAACAGTTACTGTTATTTTTAGTGGATTTGTAGAAGATTAGAGCAGATTATTTGTAGTGGCAAAGCTATTATTGGATTATTTGACAAGAAAATTTTGCATAGAAATGAGTCAGTGACAAATATTAGTGTAATATTTTCAAAGATAAAGTGATGAGTATACGTGATGACAGACTTCTTGATATCCATTCTAGAAAGTGATTGTTTCAGAGCCCAATTATCCAAATGGAATTTGGTGGAAGAAATTAACACTTCATCTGTAATCTCTACTAACTAACAAATCCTTCGTACGTAGCCAATATTTTGTTCATTATTGCACTTGTCCCAATTGTTGGTTAAAATGTTTATGATTAAATTAACTAAATTTTAATTCAACTCATGATTGTATCTAAACTTTGAATATCAAGAAGGGGTTTTGCATGTTACTACTGCATCTTTAAGCATGTGCCAAATTATAATGCAGGATTGGCTTATTCGTGACAAGCTGAGAAAACGAGCAGTCTGTGTAAGGAAAATAAGGATATGACTCGTACTTAAAGACAGTCTTAGTCAAATATCCTAGTCGTTTTGTGCAAACAGGCTTATTATTCCTTCGATATTATTAATTCCGTTATTTTTGAGCTGCTTTTTAGGTTACTCAAATATGGATGATGGCACAGTGTTGGAAGTTCGAATAAACGGTGAAATTAACGGCGATACAGCTTGTTTGGCAAAATTGCAAAATGCAGCAGAAAGTATTTCCAGTCCTTCTACACCAGGAATTGAGACCAGCAGTAGTCTCTCTGATACAGCAATCTCGTTAATGCGGAAGGAATTTGAACATGAAAACTGTGCAGCCAAACCAAAATCAAACGATCAAATTCATGTCGAAAATTGCGTCAAATGTATGAACTCATGGTTTTCTTTTCATACTACTAAATAGGAATAACAAGAAAAACAAAATAACTAACTGTGTAATAGAATTTCGTAAACTCGCAGAAAGTTATTTCTGGCATTTAACTGACCACTGCACTAAACAGACTTATCAAATTTGGAATGCTGCTTCTTGTTTATTATGGTGGTCAGATTTTCTTCTTTAATTGATGAACTAAAACACGGCAATACTAGATGTTATTAAAGAACTAGAATTATTAAGCAGTTTTTTCTAGCTAATGAACAAGTTTTGGATTCGAATGATTCAAAGCGAAAGTTTCGAGTTCTTGGATTAACTTTTCCTGGAAAATGGATGACAAGTGAAAAATTTTGGGATTTGCTTGAAAAAAGCGAGTCGTTTCATATGTGGTTTGATAAAACCACGAAGGGTTTGTAGCTTTCTTTACGTTCACAATAGTTTTCATTCTCTTGAAAAAACCTGTGCTTTAAAATGTCTAGAACATTTACACTAAAAAGTTAATCGATGAATTAACGCAATAAATTTAATTGTTAGTGCAGGTGGTACTAAATGTGGCGGACTGAGTACTGTTTATGACACACCGGAAGAAGCGAAGCTAGCATTCGCTGCGTTTCACAAAATGACGTTTGATGGGAATCCGTTGAAGTTACAGGCGTCTAAACCTTTTTGTACGTTTTTTAGTCGTCTAAATATTTTTGTTATGGAAATTCAAAGTAAAGGACTTTTCCATTGACGTAATCATTCTACTTATTTGTTTTCAGTGCTCTGAGTAATATTTTAGATGATCTGACACCAAATTCTCGAACTATACAACCACCTATGCCATTCAAAATAAGTCTTTCGGATCCCGATGCTTCGAGACGACTCTATGCTCTTCATTTGTCTTCAGCTACTGATCAGACCGTACTATCATCTATATTCGGCAGCGAATGTATTGAAACAGTACAGTTGGAGGTCGATCCGTTCATTGCATCTGAGAAGCAAGCTGAGGTTACTTGTATTATTGAAATATAGAAATTTTGGGAATTGAAGAAAATTCACCAAGACTAAAAGTTAGAAGTGATCAAATATACTTAGTATCTGTAAACCATCAATGACGCATTTTTATTATGTAGATTTTCACAGATTGTGTTCCATACTGTGCAAGAAGCGAACGATGCCCGAATGGAGTTGGCAGATGGATTTGAGATTGATGAAGGCGATCGTCAGCTTACCATGAGGTTTTCTGTGTCAATTGATATAATTCGTTTTGTGTTTCATAATTATTTTTTGATGAATCGTAATATACTTAATCTTCTATTTGCTTTTTTTTTACATTTTTGTTCAGTACTAACAACTGAGCCATTGTGAGCTGTGTCCCCAAAGAAGAGCGATAATATTTTAAACCAAGTTTCGGAGCAAGAACTTCACATAATTGTTGCTCTGAACCTTAAATCGAAATATGTTGAAAATCTGAAATGAAAGATAGTGAAGGTCTTTGATTTGAAGTTTAGAATCTCGGTTCAGAGTCTCAAGTCTATCATAATCATGGGTGATGGTTTCAGACTGTTGACGGCGGATGAATATATTTCGTACATGAAAACAGAAAATGATAAAATCCTCAATGCTCGGGTTGTACCCGTAAGCGCTTCTTCAGCTCCATCTTCATCCTCTTCCCAACCGTCACCATCAGTATCGTCGATAGCAGTTGCAGTTACTTCAGAAACTGCTGTCGTACCATTTGTTCCTGCTCCTGAAATCACAGTAGAAGATGTAACGGGTTTCCTACAACAGGTGCTTTTTCTTTTTTAGTTATATCGTCTCTTTCGGCAAATAATGATCGAATACGTATGTTAGATTAGATTGTCAATAAAAGTTTATTACTCAGAATCTTAGCTTTCTTCATGGATAGTATTGAACCTATTATTTTCAGTATGTTGATGACACACGAACAAATTGGGCAGAACTTAATGAATTAAATGAACTGTGGAAATTGTGCGATGAAGTAAGTCAACTACACAGAGGGATTCCTGATTCTTTATTGAAAATTGCTCTACTGAATGTTTTGGAACGACATCAGCAAACTCTTCCAACACATTGGATGAGACAACATGTTGACAACCTTATCAGGTCATAAAAATATTATGCATATATTTCTTACATAACTCTCGAAAGTTCTTTTTTATTGAAACAATTAAAATTTTTGGTGTAAATCACATATCCAATACTGGCAATTTTTTTCCGGCTTTCTGTGGTCCTGCTGCATATTGTTACTTACTGAATCAAGATGCCATTACAACTTGGGATTGTAAAGTAATGCTTAATTAATCATACATAAAATACTGTTCACAAATACGTTCAGTGTGTTTATTTAGGATATGGAAAAAAGAAGTGCAAAATACAAAAGGTGTTCAGCGTTCCACATCGTACATGATGTCTGCTGCACCATACATTCCCTACGATGTTCCTGAACGAAGAAATTCTAAAATAAGTACGACAAGGAAACGCGCTTTAGCAACAATAATGGGCGTCGGCGAAGTATTAGCCAAAGTTCGGACCATGCTAGCAACGGAAGAAGGGGAATTGGATGTTGATGAAGATGAACACGGTTCTTTTCTCACACTATATACTTTTTTTTTCTGATCTGTTTCATTTTTTTTTTTTTTTTTTTTTTTTTTTAAATTCTCATCTATTATCTTTATAAAGTAAGTTTGAGATTCACAACCTAAAAAAGGATGCCTCTTTTTTCAGTTTACAATTATGAATTTTAGGGAATTATACTATTGATGGACAACCACTATCGTTTGAATCATGGGCTAATATTAATAAACCGGTGAACCCAGCTCCAGTTTATGAACGGCCCCAGTTATTTATCCACCCCAAGATGCGAAAGTTCAGGTTATTTTAAGAGAAAATATATTTCAAGCGGAAAATTGGTAGTAAATATCATGTTTTTTAACTGTTCAATCCTTCTTTACAGTTTTACTTTTCGCGTCTTTATTTTTAGGAGATGGATTTTGCAAAAGTCATAAACTCTCTGATCATATGTCCTTCACATCTTTTAGTTAATGAAAATGTCTCAATTTTCTCGTTTTATTTATAAAACTGTAATTTTAGAAACCAGTGGAAAAAAGAGACGTGGCAGAAGAAAATGAAAGAAGAAAAAATTAAAAAAACGCAGGAAGTAGAGCTAGAAATCCAAAATGAAAAGGATGAAGAATCAGCTCCAGATGGCGAAGTTAAGGCAGAGACAGAAACTCCTGTAATCAGGCGGGAGGTTTGTTTATTTCTTTTATTGTTTTAGATGGATGCATTCGTTATTCCTACTCTTGCTGATGCTTTATTCTGAGCTTTTTTTTTTTTCAGAAAACATGCTAGATTTTTTAGTAGACATAAAAAGCCAAATACAAGAATTATAGTGTCAGTATTCTATTTAAGTTGGAAGAAGGAGAAATGTCATCAGAAAGTTCATCATCATCGTCAGCTTCGACATCATCAGATGAGGATATTGATGATGGAGCAACGTCCAGACACCGTCGACGAAAGCGTCGGAGACATGAAAAGTGATTTTTTTCTTTTCTGAACTTCCGTACAACTTTTTTCGTTTTTTACGTATGTGACATTTCATACCAATTTTGAGCTTAAAATTCAAATCGACTTTTAGAAAATCTTATTTACCTCTGTTTTATTTAAAAGAAGTTTTGTCGTTTAATTTTTCTATTACTCCATAATTCATTTATCATCAGGTCGTTACGACATTGTACACTCAACATTTTATTCTTCGTTGTTAGTATTTTCTCAGTTTATTTTTTGCAGGAACAATCAGTTAAATCCCGTACAGGCTGCAATGGATTCTGTTAATCCACAGTTCACGACACTGTTTGCACAACTCTATGAACATCGACATACACTGTGTCGATTGCTCTTATCTTCACACAAGAATGCTTTTGCATCTGTACTGGGACAGGTAAGGATGTAATCAGATGTACATTTGAAATTTTCTCGAAAAATTAAACTTCAAAAGAAAAGTGCTATCCAATTTCAGGTACTTTCATCACCGCAAGGCATGACATCAGCTCAGCAAAACCAGATGAATTTGTTTATCCAAAATTTCTCAGCACAGAATTTACCAAAATAACATTATTTTTTACATTTTTAATATGGTATTAGGAATATTCTGTTGTGTATTATCTTTTAGAATTATCCTATCCTCCTGTTATTAACGATCGAGACAAGATTCTGTTTATAGATTAGATAAAATAGTTTTCTAACCTGCAATATCTTATTCATTTACTTCCATGAAGCATATGGTTCGAGACAGCAGAGAGAAATTGTGAGTGATAACCTAAGATGTCGAAAAGGTGCACTTCGTTTCTTATTCCAAAATCCAAAGGGAAATGAATAACTGCACTTTATTACCTGATAACCGTAGCGAGCATACTTGGTTATTCCCATTTTTGCTGATACTGTCTCTGTGATCAGTTCAGCTGCTTTATTATGCAGTAACTATTCATGTTTATGGCAGCATAAGTTCATTTTTTTACATAACTTATAACACAGTGTATTGCTTTTATTGGTTTTAATACTGTTTCGGATTTCATTTTTTTCTTTACTCAACTTTCTTGTTATGTTTTGTGCTGCATTGTAAGCTGTCAATTTTTTAAAATATGATTTATCTTAACAACTATTTGTGAATGCATATCGTCTTGTACATCTGTTTGAAATAAGCCTAATTTTATGGTGAAAATCTGTATAATCGTATCAAATTTGCCATTCTTTTATTGTACAAATTTGAACGTCGTGCACTTTGAACTCTAGCCATGTTCATAATTTGTCCCAGTGTTTTATCATACATGTAAACTTCTTTCCATGAAATTCATTCAGATAACTTACAAAACTTTAATTTTTTGCTCCTTCTTGCGTCGTTCCCTTCATAGGTTTATTCTGAGTTCTAAACTTTGGATTTGAATTCATTCGACCCTCTATACTGTTACAAAATATGTTCCGTTTATTCTCATTTGTTCGATGCAGGATTTTTTTAAATGTTTTTCATTTAACATTTTTTTTATCCAAATGACAGGCAAATGTTGCAACATTTTATATTTAAATAAATGTTTAGTAAGCAAATGTTGCTTATCTGGAATGCTTACTAAAGTGCTGTTTTTGTCAGGAATGCGTGCTTGCATTATCATATGGAAAGGATGTAAAGGAAAAGTATTCGCTATGAGGCGTCAGTGAACTAACATATCAAGTTTTATTTTATGTAATTTTTAAAATTATTTGGGTAAATTATACTTCCCCAAATGTGTCGTTGATAAGCGGGAAGCCCTACGCTGAAAATTTTCAGTTTGCGTGACTTAAACTATGCATCGTTGGAGGAAATCCCAGATATTCATTTTTAGCTCGAGTCTCTCTTCTCTTCCGTTCGGATGGAGTGTGGCGATGCACCTGCTGATAGTCCTTCTTTTTCGGACGATGAAGCAGATTACGATTATGGTTGGTACATTCTGTTCAGTTGTACTTCTCATAAAATGTTTTTTGTTGAATTCCACTGAAATGATCACATTTAGATGACTTTTACTGCAATGGAGAAAATTGTGGAATGGAGATATTTGAAAGAGAAGATCCGGAATACATTGAATATGCATGCCTAAAAGTTCCGGAGGTATGTATCATAAAGTTTTCGGTAATTGTTATCAATATAATGTAATGTTATAAGGGAGAAAACGATGCTCGGGATAGATTTTATCTGCTTCTCAACTATATTTCTGATGTAGACTAATTTCATAAATATTTAGGTCGAACGTCTCTTGAAGGAAACTGTGGATCATGTCGTTTCAACTTTGAATGTATCATCTTCACTTGCCAAAATCCTCTTGCATTTTTACAAGTGGGACGACTCCACTTTAATCCAGTTGTACCGCGTTGATCCTTGTAAAGTTCTAGTCGGTAAGCTTTATGCAATTAGTTTTAATCAATGCCTTTTTAGAAGTTGATTAATTGATTAGACATAATAAATTTCTCATATTACGTGGCTTTCTGTTATTGAGTCGGGAGCCTCAACAGCTAGCTTAAACGGAACAATTACTTGGCTAACATTGTTAGCCTTTACTAGAAAACACGTGCATTCTGTCAACTAACACTGCATGTGCTGTGTGTTACTATGTGCTTGTTATTCTACTGCTTAAATTTTAGATTGCTTTGTGTGCGCTGGTTCTTCAAAGCAACAGCCAGACACTATGAGCTGTGTGGTTTGTACGAGGTTACAAGACGAATGTACCAAAATGTATGCATTGGATTGTGGGCATAGCTTTTGTTCAGCATGTTGGATGGAATATATCGAAACACAGCTTTGTAATGGCTTATCAATCACGTCAGCTCTTATCACTTAGTTCCTTAAATGATTCGTTTTTAATTTAGTTCAAAATTTAAAATAGTTTTTTTTTCCTGGTGTATTGGTACATTCTGCTAACCGTTGTTTTATTCCGACCATTTCATCAATTACATAACTTAACGAGTCTAGAGGGAGTTCGATATAAACAACTTCAAATTTTTATAGAAACATTTCATTTTTTTCTGGTAGCTTTGAAGTTAATTAGTTGTTATGCCAATCTCAAAAGGTCATGTTTATGAAGATGAGTAAAAAGTGGATTTTGGGGAAAGGAAAGTGAGCAGTTTGTTTACAGGATTGGTTGTATGGCAAGCGGGTGTACATTACTGTGTTTAGAAGATTTTGTACTAAGGATATTGAGCGAACGCACAGAAATAAGAGATAAATATGAAAGGTTGATATTCAAAGATTGTGTAGAATCACATCCACAGTTGCGATTTTGTCCGGGTATTGATTGTCATGTCGTTATCAAAGCACAGTGCCAAAAGGCCAAGAAAGTTACTTGTACCAGTTGCCGAATTTCTTTTTGGTATGTTCCAAGTTTGCTTCTACAAAACCTGACTGTACATTCTGTCGTCCTGCAAGTGGTGACCAGTTTGGACAAGACCTGTGCATGTTGGTCATTTCCGGAAATGCGAAGTAGCTTTTGTTGGTTGACGATTCAAGCAGTTAGAATTAAAATTAGAGTCCTGCGGTAACCTAATTTTATCGGGGGCATGGATGAAATCGTTATAACAATTTACATCGTAAAAAATTTTTTGAAGTTTTATTCTCTGCCCTACTTTGGATACATTTTTGCCATTATCTAATTACATCCTGGGTTGAAAGACTGGACAATTTTAGTTTCGAATTTGAATTTGTGATTTTTGTTTTTGCTGCCAAAGTTTTGCAAATGTCTTTTATGTTCAGTTTTGTTTATAGTTTTCAATGCGGTTGTGATTACCACGCACCGACCTCCTGCGAAACAATACGCAAATGGTTAACAAAGTGTGCTGATGACAGTGAAACTGCAAATTATATAAGGTTAAAATAGATTCTGCCATATGCATCTTACACTGGAATCATACACTAATATTTTTCATAGCCTTTTTGTGCACGTCACAGAGAATACTTTTCATTTTTTTTATCTGCAATTTCCATTTAGTGTTTTATGTAATTTGGTTTGTTATTTATGCATATTTGGGTAATTTAGTGCACATACAAAAGATTGTCCCAATTGCCATTCATGCATCGAAAAAAACGGCGGATGCAATCATATGCAGTGCGCCAAGTGCAAATATCACTTTTGTTGGATGTGTTTTGGAGGTCACTCATATTTTTTTTTTAATTTCCATTAATTAGAGTCTATTTTATTAATGTTTAATAAAGGATAACTAATGCGGGACTTAAATTCCCTTTCATATCCCAATATTTTGCTGCATGCATATCAGATTAAAATAATTTTTTTTTTCCTTTTGTTTGCAGCAACAAAAACATTCAGCTAAGGAAGTTACCCAGAAAAAATCTGTTCTGTATAAATTGGAGTTCAGATCTTCGTCTCAAGATAGATTTTGAATTTCAAATAAACAAAATGCCATTGCGTATTACGTATTTTCTGCTTCAAATTTCCACTTCTTCATATAAACAATTTAGAACATAATTTTTACGTTTTTTTTTTTGTATAGACTGGAAGAACCATGGAAGCGAATATTATGAATGTAGTCGCTATAAAGAGAACCCATCTATAGCCCAGGAAGCAAATCATGTCAAAGCCCGTCGTGCACTTGAAAAATATTTACATTATTATGGTATGTTTTTATCTGTTTTCGTAGGATTTGCAGAATATTTTTACTTTACCAGCTAATTAATACATTGACCGTTTGTTATGTACCATACTAGAGAAATGCATAACATAATATTTTTTTAAAAAAAAGGTGTTTGTTAAGTTTTACAGAGCGTTATGAAAATCATCACAAATCCTTAAAGATGGAAGAAAATTTGCGGAATTGTATAATGAAAAAAATCGATGAGAAAGTAAATGGGTATGAAGGGACATGGATTGATTGGCAGTATTTGCATAGAGCAGCCACATTACTTACAAAATGTCGTTACACGCTGCAGTACACTTATCCATATGCATATTATATGGAAAATGGACCAAGAAAACAGCTGGTATGATCTTTTGAGACTGTCGAATAGTTAAAACTTTACATGTAACTCCCAAATCTTTTTTTTTTTTTTTTTTAAATACACGTCATTTTAGTTAAACGCGACTTTTCTTTGAGGTTTCATTAGCCATCATATAAGAGACAAGTGATATAAGTTAGAACTGAAATGTTCTTGTCACTTAATTATTTATTTGTTCAGTTTGAATATCAGCAAGCTCAGCTAGAAAAAGAGATTGAAGAGTTGTCCTGGAAAGTCGAAAGAGCAGAAAGTACGGAACGAGGTGATTTGGAAACACAAATGCATGTAGCGGAATGTAAACGACGTACACTTCTACAAGATTTCTTCGACTGACAGTTCCACAGAGTAGTTAAATCTCCTGCTTATATCATAAGAAGTTTTTTCATCGTGCTGTTTTATCGGGTTGTATGTAGTTAGTCGCTGCGTGACATTTTTTTGTTATTATTGAAACCGTCTTTGTATTTTTGCTCAGAACTTCGTTTCATATTGATTATTTTCCAATCATTTCCTTCCATTTATGTGTTCTATTTTACAAATTCATTGTGATTCGGAATTTTTTTTTCAAAAGATTTCTTTAATATTGCCTATTTTGTTGCTTTTAACCAATCGATATTTTGCATTCTATTACCTACATTCTGAAGAGTATGCAAATGATTTACTAGGATTTATATTACTATTGGTTTATATTCTGTAGTTACTTATTCTTTCAGAAAATGATCATGTCTCGAATTATGCCTTTTAATTTATAGTAATAAGTTGCTGTTTGTGTCATGTTTTCGATGTTTTTTTTTTTTTTTTACATTGAAATATTGAGTTTATGCGCCTTTGATCATTTAGCTTGCAGTGCTTCGACCTCGTATTTATGTCCAGTAAGATCTGTGAAATTGAAAGGGGTTTAGTGAAGTATTTTAATTTTAATATTCGAATTTACGTAGTCGAAAATAGTTTATGGATTAATCCAGGATTTCATTCTCGCTTTCTTAAGCTTATTTCCGTAGCATGCAGATTTGAAGTTTGAGATAATAGAACGGTCCTGAAATATCACTTTGTATTGATATTGTTGAAATTAGGATACACTTCTTTTTTATTTCACAACAAAGAAATAAATTGACAGTTATTGTTAAGTATTTTATGAAAACAGTTTCACTGTTTTTGAATATGCGCCATTTTACATGCACCATTGTTGTGTCCTCAGTTGAACATTTGCCTTTTTTATTGGGGAATACTTTGTTTTGTGTATTCGCACTGTCTTTAAGGCCATTTTTCTTATTACTGACGTTTGGTTCGTGTGTATGTATCCTTATATTGTGTTTTTAGAAATCATTATGAAGTCTTCATTATTTCTGACAGGATGTATCGGATATTATGGAGCGAAACATCATTAAGATGTCGAAATTTAACGATTGGTAGTGTGAATTAATAGAAGTGATTGTACAGATAGTGTAACCTCGGGGTGGATGATAGGTTTTGCACTTCGAATCTGCTGACAGCAACTGTGAAGTGTTTCAAAATGCATAAAAATCGCTGGTGAGTTGGCGAACACCAGCACTGTAAAAGAAAAAGGTAGTCGAAATTTGGCTTATTGTCTTAACTGGTTCCCGTCACTTCGTCTGACTTTTCGACGTAACGTTTTTAACGGTGCAATCATGAAATGGTTCAGTGATATTTTTATATTTTTCGTTTATTTTTGATATAGAACTGCAATAGTCAAGGGGCTGGAGTGAAGAGAGTTCAAATTCACATTTTTGTCAATGGCGGTGTTAAATAGATCGGCGGAAAGGAAATTATGTGCCATTTTGCGCAATTAATGATAAATTATGTGCTTATGAAGAGAAGAAATGGAATTGGTGATTCAAAATTGCCGTTTCAAACTGAATTTCTGTTGTCGTCGATTACATCAAGCATTACACTATCGGTTACCGTTTAAAGCTCAAAATAATCAGGAACGATAGGCATCCGAGAGATAATCCTAGTTGTTATTCTGAACGACGAAGAAACGTTTAGAGTCGGAAGGTTGCTTGCAACTCTTCATTCATTATTGAAAAATAATTATGAAACTATCAAATCAAAATTTACTCATAATTTGAATTTCAGAACTGGATTATTGAATAGAAGTATCGTTAGTGATTAAGTGGGAAACTGAATGAATAAAATTATGAAACAAACAAGACAAATGATGTCTCCGTGAGGAGGTTTCAGATTTGAACGACATCCCAACTTTGTTACGAAATGAATTCACAGCAATGTTTTAGCAAAAAAGTTCAGATATCAGGCTTTGATTCTGGCATTTTTTGTATCTATTGGTGAATATTTGTTGATAATTGATTTCTCAAATAAGAAAAACAGAAAAAAAGACATATTAGCTGTAATTTAAAAATAGATGTGGGTCGCTGATAAAAATAACATGATAAAAACTTCAGATGACAATATTATACATATGTACAATTATCTTCCTCACTTAATTATACTGAAAGAGCACAAACTTTCTCATCTGATGTAGTCATCAAAATGATTAGGTTATTTTGTTGTAGTTAAGGTTTCCTTTTGATTATACCAAAAATTCTTTTCACTTAGGATATGTTTGAATAGTAACCATGACTTTGAAACTAAAATTCCAAAATAATTTGTTAAGTAAAATAAATGTCCATCTAAGCTCTTCAAGTAAGTAAACCAGTAAGAAGCACACTATTCTGTCAACTCATTTTGTAAGAACTGACAGGGAAAGTAGTGGTTATGTCGGTGTATATCTGGGGATGTATTTGAGGATGATACACTGAAAAACAAATTTCCCTCTTACGCGGATAGCTTTTAGTTCTTTCACAGTTGCGGTGTATCTTTGTGTAACGAATGTAGATTTGTTGCATATGATAACTGATCAAAGTTTCGACTTTTCCGATTAATGAGTGTGACCTAAATCATAGAATATTGAGAATGTTCAATTGGAAATAATATTGAGGTAGATGGATGCAGTAAATTGATTTTGATGGTGATGAAGAATAGATCTCGTGATGATTGTGTATTTGAGGGTTGTGTACATCTCACGCTTACTTCCCATATGTAAATGTTTGGTAGGTTGGGGGAATAAGAAAGGTGTATGGAATGAAGACCAGGGTGTATAAAGTGAACTTTCGAAATTGGTACAGCCCAAGGACATATCGCGTGACGATGATGCGGGAGAACGATAGAATGGCAGCAAGAGAAGGGGAAGGAGAATAATAGAATGGCTGTTACCAATCACGGGTAAAACTCCTCACAATATTTCTACCTCGTTATTGAGGGATAGATGTATGTGTGTATGTATGTATGTGTATGTTTGCCTGCCCATTTGTAGCTACACCTAGAGGTCGTCTCCCGAGGTTTTGAACTGGAAAAAAGTGAGGAGGGGAGGCTCTGTTTGTTTCCTCGGGTATTAGACACGAAAAGAATGGGATTGAGTGTTTGAGCTGGGTTAGGTTGAGTACAACGCAGACGGTAAAGCAAGTATTGGATGATGGACGGATGAATAATGAATGGGAAGTTTAGCTTCAGGAATAATCAGAGGAGAGAGGAGTAGTATAGTGGCACAGTTGCAAAGGACGAGAGGTCGAAATTAGAGGGAAGAAGTGAAAGGTAGGATGGCAGTGGTATCAATTGAGTGTCTCGAAGATTTTTCGCCAGTTCCAGAGGCATAAAAGGGATAGCTAGACGGATTGGGTGAGGGCGAAGGTTGCGAGGAGAATAGAAAAGCAGTTGTGTGTGTATATGTATGTGCATCATGTCTCCGAGTCAATGATGCCTCCTGATGGTGGCGCGACAGGACGGATGCTCGGTCGGTTGATCGGTCGGGTAAATAGATTGGTTGTTCAATCACTCACAAGAGTTATAATTGCTATTGTCCTGCTGTCACTCACTGTCGATGTTGCTGTACTGACGAGGTAGATGGTGCTGCTGTATTACCCGCGATGGTACTGGTCATGTGTTGTTACCAATAACAGCAGTGACGGGGAGGGACTAGGGGTAGAAGAGAGGAGAACAGTATATCTGCTAAATGGGAAAGTGACAGGTTTCCCTAAGTTCTGCATCCTTCTGCCTCATAGATCCTTCTGTGCTTATGTACGATCTTCTATCCTATACTGATCCGTCAAACATTGCAGGGAAATAATTGTTTAATGAGTATATTTTGTATCCAGGATAGTGACAAATTTTAATGGAATATTAGCACAGTTCGTAGAGTATCAGACTGCTACCAAAAAGGGATGCAGTAAATTCCAGGAGGAGGCCATTGATCTTATCGTTCCACACCGTAACGTTTCCTTTTTTCTCACTGTTCACATTTTTTCTTCCCATTTCTCAGTTTCCAATCAGTTCAATTTCTATAGAATATTAACTGATTAGCATCTGCAAGTGAACCTGATATACCCTGTTCCGGCATTCAACCGAATACAACATGTAATGCTGGATAAACATACCTGAATTGCTGCTGGCACATACTCAATGGCACTAGATGAATTCACGGTTCACCTCTCCTATCCGTGTATTCGCCAGTTCCATAGAGCTGTGCAAGTATTTGCTATCTCCAATTAATTTTCCCTCCAATATGTTAACAATTGCGCATCTTAAATTTTTTTTCTCATTCACGCTATTAATGATTATCCCATTTACCTGGTGGTATCCTCGACCAATCTCTTCAATCTGCTGTACACTTTTCGCAATGAGTAAAGTGATTTTTGCATTTTAATTTGCGCCATCTTTTACGAATTACGCTCGTTTGTTTGTTTTGAAATTTCGGCATATTTCTCACTTCAGTTCACTAATTTCATAATCTTTCACGTAAATGCTTTTAACAAAGATTTTGCGTCATCTTAATTCAAACTGTTTCTACATTCTCCGACTGCGTCATTCTGTTTAACTGGCCCTGATTCGGTCCTGCATAGCAATAATTTAGGGAAGAAATTTCATGGATAACCTTTTCTTTTAATTTGGAATTGTTCTCGCTATCCTTCAAAATCAATGCTTTTTGGATAATTCGATTTTTTTAATTGTTAACAAATCATTGATAATAAAAGAAAAATCACCATTTTGATCTTTCCTTTGTTTTTGAATTTGCTGAAAAGATCCAAATGGATAGCTGAGAGAGATGACGAGTCCATTGTTCAAATACATATATATATATATGTCTCTATATGTTGAATCCATTGTTCAGACATTGTCAAAATCTCCCTCCTAAAAGAATGATCAGTGACCAAACATTAAGCTGATCTAGTCCATTTTGATTTGTGACTTCAGGTGCAAATGATGTCTCACTACTAAGTGTATCTCCCAACAGAATTTAATAAGTGATCAAATCCAATTTTCATTAACACAATAAACTCACTTAACTTGCTAATTGATTTAAACAGATTGGTGAAGGAATCCTCTAACAATTGTTTTAATCACACAAAAAAAGAAAAAGGCCCTTAAGTACTCTGAAAAATCATACCTCGTTATTTTTCTAACGAATTATATTTTTTTAATCATTAACTGATGACATTTAAACCGACTTAGGAACCATGAAAAAAGATAATTAATTTTAAAATAGATAATAAATCAAAATTGCGAGAAAATTTCCGCAGCGAAGTGAGTTTTGACTAACGGAGGAGAAGTACTAGTGTAAAAGGACGGAAACAAGCATTCGAGTTTGGATTTAAAACATCAAGCTAAAATTATTAGGAATTCCGCATTGTTTGCCTAGACATTTATATATATAGTTTTTTTTTTTTTTTTTTTTTTTTTTAAAGTTTAATCTCACATGCAGAAACATTTAGTATTTTAAATAAATGCAGTAGAATTATTAAAAATTTTCCTATTGTTTGTAATATAATTATCACCATCACTCATTTTGCAAATGTCGCTTTAATCTAACATATTTTTTAATTTAAGTTAAAATTGGAATTACAAGCTGGATTCTAGTTGCATCACTAATCTATCAAGGGGTTCAATTTTAGGCGAAAAACAAATGGAATGGTTTCGAAAAGTACGAAAAAAATAAACTGATTGGATGAACGATAAATTTGTGATAATCTTATCCATGCTGTCAACAGTTTCCACATGAATAATGAGTTATATCTTCATTAGTAAACCTCATTAATCTTATTTTTAAAGATACATCAATGTTTAAATTAATAAAATTAAATTTTTTTTTTGTTTAATCATATTTATCTGTAACCATTTTTGTATATTATTTGCGTTAAAATTAAGTTTACCTAATTTACTGCAGATCCTTGAATCATTCATTTTCCTTTCTTTCCCTTTTCTTTTTTGTTTCCAAATCCTTGCAACACATGTTTTAAAGTAAATACACAAACGATGAATGAAAAAATGCGGATGATTTCACAAAGGTCTGAGATTTAAAAATTTCGGATCAAAAACACTTGAATGTCTGATAATGATTTTCAGGTATTTGTTTGTTGATAGCGCTTTTGCATATGCAATTAGTTAGTATCTTCAGTTCGAATTTTTGTTGGGAAATCTAAAATATAAAAAATTATTACTTTTGCTTGCACACAGTTTCTTTCTTAATAAAATTTAAGGAATTGTTAAATTATATGGTTAGCATCATTTTATCATTGATTGTCAAATATTTTTGTATGAAATATTTCGCAATAGTTAATTACTGAATACTTATCGAAAGCTGTTACCAAAATATTATTGCAAATATTTGAAACAAAAAAATAAAACGTAAACTCAAAGTGACAGTTTATGAACAAGTTTTTCCAACACTTTTTGGTGGTCTTAATGTTGTAGCTATTAAAGTTGCATAACTAATATTATTATGCATTGATTTACAATTTCCATACGCTATGATACATACCGGAAGATGTGATAAATTTTCCCATAAATTCCATATTTTCAACTTGAATGAAATATAGAATAGACAAAATGTAAATTAAATTCTATTTAGATAAACGAAATCAAATTTATCTCCTTTATTTGTGTTTAATTTTAGTTGAAAATTTGAACTGTTAGATTGTCCAAAAGCAAGTTTTTCTCTGGATTTTATCTTCCAACTCAACTTCAACTTATTTGTTTAAAAACAGTGGTAGTTTTAAAATCAAATATTTGCTGGAGTTGTAAGAGATCAAATAACTTTATGGTATCGTTAATTGATGATAATAAGAAATTTGTCATATAAGACATTTTTACACTCTTAAATGATTATCATCCTGCTTTTTTCTTTTTTCGTCCTTTTTTTTCAAAACCAAATCTTGAAAATTTTCACATTTTGTGGGAATTTAAAAGTTCCGAATGTGAGGTTAATTAGACTGGACCAATACTTTCAGGATACGTCTCAAAATGAAAATAGTTTGGAAACAAATAATATTGCAGTTCATCTTAATTTAAGGATTAAAAAGGTAATTTGATGAGAAAACAGCTCATTTAAGATCCATTCTAAATATTTCAGTTTAAATTAGATGCTTTCAACCTTTTTAAAAAAGAATTTATAGTTTGCGACAAAAGAAAAAAGAGTTCGAAAGTTTTTACAATAACGTTGGTAAGATAACTGCTATCTTTGTTCTTTTAATTTTGCGTAAAACACTTTAACTCTTTCACCTATCCATTAACATGAAGTACTGCCATTTAGAAATGATTTTTTTTTTTTTTTATTTGAAGATATTCATATATTTCTTATTTTAATTTGACGTGTATTTTAAACTGCAATTACTTTTATCAAAATATATTATGGCTATTTCCTACCTATTGTAATGACTCGAACGAATAATTCGGGTTTCAGTATATACGTTTACTCATTATTTGCATAAATTTGATAGTAAATTAATTAACTGTGGCAATGAGCATTGTTAATTTATGACACTGTTGTCTTTCATGAAGGATCTTTGAATTTATTCTATTTTGTAAACAATCTTTTATCTACTCATTAAGTCCTCTTTCTTTTTTTTGTATTTATTGTGTGGCTGAAATAAATTTTTATATTCATGCGACAGCTCATAAAATGCTATATGAAAGAGCTATTGTTCAGACAGAAGTGCAAGCAAATAAGGTCTAATTCATGTCAATTTCCTGTTAAAAGATACTGTGAACGGATGAAAAATGAAAAACTATCATAATTGTTAGGATCTCAATGATTAGCTGTTTTATAACAGTATGAAAATAAGCTATAAAATGTCACATTTTCATGATTTAAATCTAAAAAAAGCAATAAACATAGTCGTTGTCGTTTTTTCTTTTTCTTTTTCAAACATTTCCAAATTTACTTTTCTTGTTTTCAATTCATCGTTCCCATCCTCTACAATGACTGAGAGAGGGAAATTATTTGATGGTGTGCTGTTTCATGGAAATTGATCGATATAACACAATGGAACATTTCAATAATATTCCCTTCTATTACACGAAATTACCCGTCGTGACAAAAAATTACCACTTATATATATGAGTGAACTCCATATAATAAAATGGAGCAGTATTTGTTGTAAGGTAGGTCAGAGGAATAAAATTCACTCTCTTGTACGGAGGAGTTTAGATCAACATTAACGAAAAGAAGGCATTACCACAAATGGACAATCTTTTGTCACGGACGGGCAATAAGCATAACCAACCAACAACAATAGTAAGCTAATGATGACAGTGACATAACTTATTGGTAACCTCAAGAAAACATTGGGACAATTAATAGATGAATTTTGTGAGAAAAGAGAATATGATTGTATTTATATCAAATGAAAAATTTATTCATCATTCTTTATGATACATATTTCAGCAAAGTAATATTAGCATAGCACATGCTAACAATTCACATCTATCAAACAATGATTCTAGAAATATTTTAAATTTTAAACTTGCAAGATGAGATTAAAAGATAATCCATTAATGAGGGAAGAGAAAGAGAATGAGAGAGAAGGACAGATTACGAATAATAAATCTGCTTGGTTATTGCAGTTATTTTTGCAAAAGAAAAGAGAAAAAAACACGAGAACTGAAATGCTAAGCACAATGTCAACGATGGACGGAAGAAGGGATATTGACGTTGTCACGGCGACTCAATCGGTGTGCTACAATACAATATTGATTGTGAGTTCGATTCCGGATCATTGCAGAAAAACTTTGCTGTATGTGTTTTACAATGGAGGCAAGAGCTTTTTAAGGTCAGAGGTTATGAGAAAATCAAGAGATGTTTTGAGTGTGAAATGATATAAACTGAGTTACTGGTTATACATCTACCAGTCACAATAGTGATGTTGATTGGCAAATAAATGAATGAATTTTCGATTGTATCACTAGTAATCACTTATCATATCACCAGTAGCTTATCACTGACCAGCGAAGTTTGTTAAAAAAAGTCTCTTAATTATCATTTATCTATTAGAGATTAGAAATCATTTGATTAATAGTAATTGATAGTGCCGGATGGTCATTTCATTTTGTCGTTTTTGGATGATAAATCTTCATTTTTTTAATATCATAGTTGAATTGAGAATGATTAAACACATTTAGGGTCTTTAACACACTGAGATATTCAGTTTACAATTTTTGCTATCGAAAAATTTCGTAATAAAGAAATTAATGCATAC